TGTTTAACCAGGGGTGTAAGGTGAGTTTATTACAGACCTTCCATGGCTCTCTAATTTACATGTTCTTTCTTTTAATTTTCTGACTAGTCAAGCACTTACCCTAACCAGGACTTCAACCTCAGACCTCAGCTGCATTTTCCCTTTTCATTTCCAACCAAATTTACTACTTTTCTCCACCAAAGCCACAGATTTTCACTACCCCACCCTGAAATGAGTCCACTGTTTTTGCTAACAAAGCTGCTGGATTTTTTGTTTGTTTGTTTCATGTTAGTAAAAATGTGGGTCTTGTCATCCTGGCTGGAGTGAGTGGTTGGAAGAAACCTTAGGCAGAAGGGCAGAGCCTCTCACAGCTCTTAACCTGTGACTGTAGCAGTTTCTCTGGAATCCAACACTTATCAGTTTGCAGGCTACCTTTGGTTAATTCCTGCTGCCTTGAATTGATTGTTTTTGATAAATTTGTCTAGTTTTATACTTAATCTTTATGGATGAAAATTGCCAACCTCTTCATTCTTCCATAAAACCTGCATGTTTTCTGCTGTGGATGAATTTCACATTTACTTATTACCAAACTTCCTAAGAGTTCTCTTGTTATTTTGATTAGATTTAAATTGACTTATAAATTAATTTGTAGAATATCAGCATATTTAAGATATTGAGGTTTCCTTCCAGGAATGCGGCATTTATCTCTCTCTATTCAGACTTACATTTTATATTCCTCAGGAAAATTATTTAGCTTACATACAGGACTGGCTCATATTTTGTTAAGCTTATTCGTAGCATTATAAAAGCTTTTATGGCAATTGCTAATGAAATGACCTTTTTGTTGTATTTTCTGTTTGTTGCCAGTTTGTAGGAAAGTTAGTTTTTATGAGTTTTAATCTTTATGGATGAAAATTGCCAACCTCTTCATTCTTCCATAAAACCTGCATGTTTTCTGCTGTGGATGAATTTCACATTTACTTATTACCAAACTTCCTAAGAGTTCTGTTGTTATTTTGATTAGATTTAAATTGACTTATAAATTAATTTGTAGAATATCAGCATATTTAAGATATTGAGGTTTCCTTCCAGGAATGCGGCATTTATCTCTCTCTATTCAGACTTACATTTTATATTCCTCAGGAAAATTATTTAGCTTACATACAGGACTGGCTCATATTTTGTTAAGCTTATTCGTAGCATTATAAAAGCTTTTATGGCAATTGCTAATGAAATGACCTTTTTGTTGTATTTTCTGTTTGTTGCCAGTTTGTAGGAAAGTTAGTTTTTATGAGTTTGTGTAAGTTGATCCTGTATGTGATTGAAATCTTTTCATTCTAATGTGCTGTGCTTAGTCACTTAGTTGTGTCCAACTCTTTGTGACCCCATGAACTATAGCCCGCCAGGCTCCTCTGTCCATGGGGACTCTCCAGGCAAGAATACTGGAGTGGGTTGCCATGTCCTGCTCCAGGGGGAATCTTCCCAACCCAGGGATCGAACCCAGGTCTCCTGCATTGCAGGCAGATTCTTTACTGTTTGAGTCATCATGGAAGCCCAAGAATACTGACTGGAGTGGGCAGCCTGTCCCTTCTCCAGGGGATCTTCCCAACCTAGGAATTGAACTGGGGTATCCTGCGTTGCAGGTGGTTTCTTTACCAGCTGAGCTACCAGGGAAGCCCTTTCATTCTAATAGTTTGTCAATTTATTATTTGTATTCTTTTAGGTAGTCTAAGATATTATTTGCAAATAATGATGGTTCTCTGTATAGTCTATGTTTGTATTTCTTGAAGTTTTTAATTTTAAAAATTTATTTATTGTAAAAATTCTGTAGTGTAGGTTATGCCTTCCAGGAAAATAGTAAAACAGTAGGCATATTGGCCTTAGGGACTTTACTGGAAATATTTTTAATGCTTCATCATGAAGTATGATATTGTGTAACTTCTTTTATTGATCTAAAAAAAATTTTTTTTAGTATAAACTAGTATATTGACATGTACTGAGATCATATTATTTTTATCTTTTGAGTGCTTAATATCATAAAAAATACCATATTTGATTAAGATGTATTATAGTTTTAATATTTTCCTTGATTCAGTTTCCTAGTATTTTATTATCTTTGCATTTCAATTCATAAATGAGATTGGTTTATAAAGAACATCACCTTGGTAAACCAGAGATTCATTCCAGATTGAAATAATTATAGGTTTCCCCTTCTTCAGGAATTTTGATTAGAAGCTGCTCATTATTCAGTTACTTACATTTGCTGTCTATATTAAACTCATATCCCAGGCTATATGGCATCCTTTTTTGAGCAGTACAAGGGACTTAAAATCCAGTTCTTCATGTAAGGTGATTATTTTTCTAGCTTTCTGAATTTTTCTGTTACCACACATTCCTCCTTTAAATGGTATGTTCCTCCGATTGCATTTTTTAAAAAATAAGACCTTCAAGGATTATTTAATGTTTGTCAATCTCTGTTTCTTTGCTGTAGGTAGTCTCCCTTTTCTCTTTATCGTACTCATAAGGTATTACCTTCTTCATGTTTTTCTTTTCATTCCAGTTCATTCTGTGACCTGTTCTTTGATGCCTTTTGTAATTCTTCCTCTTCCCCATTAATCCCTGAGGACTACTTTTATGTTTGCAATACAGCCTATTATACATTATATATACATATATATTTATATGTACATATGCATGTGTGGCTGGAGAAGGCAATGGCAGCCCACTCCAGTACTCTTAGCTGGAAAATCCCATGGACGGAGGAGCCTGGTAGGCTGCAGTCCGTGGGGTCGCACAGAGTTGGACATGACTGAAGTGACTTAGCAGCAGTAGCATGCATGTGTGGCTGCCCACACTCGTATTTCCCTTAACTACATCTTGGCATAACAGAACTTTCTTGTTACTTTTGGTTGTAACAACAGTCTTGTTTTTGGTAACTGAGACTTAGTTTGTGCGTTTATAAAACTTGTAAAAATTTGCTTAACAGGAATTATGAGGGGTGAAGGTGTTCTGACTCTTCACATACTTATTCCTCCTTCCACGTGTTGGAGCAGGGAGGAAGGAGGGGGGAAAAGGCAAATATATTACTAAATTAGGAGAAGTTGTCATCATCTTTTAGGTTGTAGCTACCTATAGCTAATACTGACTGTTCATCATGACCGGTTGTGAGGCCTGTAAATGCTGGTTCATTGCCCTGTGCAGATTTGTCCTGGTCCAGCCTGTTGACAGCTCACTGCAGCTCTCTGAACTTAGGACATGTAGTGGTTAGTATCTTGTGTGCTTAGTTTAGGTCTAAGAAGCAATTTTGGGATTACAAGAAAAGAAGCTTCTGTTAGTACTCTGTGAAATTTACTTAAATGTCAGTGTTTCACAGTTTAATAGGCAAAAAAACCCAAAACTGTCTCTAGAGGAGGGTATTGACTCATGCAGGTATTTCTTTGGTACTTCATAGTTTTCATACCTATAGTTTTAATTCCATATCCTAAAATAATTCAGCCTCTTAGAAATTTCTTCCCAGCATGTCATTCTAGAGTTGTGTCAGATGTCTTATTTAAATGTAACTTAATTTAAATTTACATTAATGAAAGTTAAATAAAATGAACAGTTCAGTCCCTCAGTCACGCTAGCTACGTTTTCAGTGCTTCGTTAGCCACAAGTGGCTAGTGGCTAATGTGCTGGGTAGTACAGAACATTACTGCCTCTGATAAGAGTTCTGTTAGACACTGCTTCTCTAGAGGATAGAGGTGAGAAATACTTGTTACCATAGCGAAGTTAGAAAAGTGAAGTCAATCGTATATACTAATCAGTTACTCTGTTACACAGATTTTTTTTTTACTTGACTGAATGAAGTTTGTGAAAGGGAGAAAAGTTGGCACACAACTGAGCAATGTATTGCTTTCAGATCCATCTGATATTTAGCTTTTCATGTGGAAGTTTTAAATAACTGCTACTGCAAACATAGTTGGGAGAAGGCAATGACACCCCACTCCAGTACTCTTCCCTGGACAATCCCATGGACGGAGGAGCCTGGTAGGCTGCAGTCCATGGGGTCGCTAAGAATCGGACACAACTGAGTGACTTCACTTTGACTTTTCACTTTCATGCATTAGAGAAGGATGGCAACCCACTCCAGTGTTCTTGCCTGGAGAATCCTAGGGATGGGGGAACCTGGTGGACTGCTGTCTATGGGGTCACACAGAGTCGGACACGACTGAAGCAACTTAGCAGCAGCAGCAGCGAACATAGTTGACAGCAGGATTCAAAGTTCAAACATTTCCACCCACCAGAGAAGAACTCCCTAGTTCTGCTTTCTGTATCCGTTCTTATTTCCTCATTCCTCAGATGAACGTCAGTGCAACTTCAGTCCTAAGACAGGAAAGACTGGTATTTTTGAAAGCCAAATGTTTGTATATATATATTTGTGTATATGTAAGGGTTTTGGGACAAGTGACTTAACTTTCAGAATAACAAATTTTTCTTCTTGTTTTTTTTTTTTTTAACCAAACTCTCACATATCATGTAATTGAATGTGTGCCTATATTTTACATACAGGTAAACTGAGGCTAGGGAAAGTGACTGCCCAAGAACATATCAATGTGTGTGTGTTAGTCACTCAGTCATGTCCGACCCTGTGACCACATGAACTGTAACCTGCCAGGCTCCTCTGTCCATGGAATTCTACAGGCAGGAAAACTGGAGTGGGTTGCCATTCTCTTCTCCAGGGGATCTTCCTGACGCAGGGCTCAAACCTGGGTCTCCTGTGTTGCAGGCAGATTCTTTACCACCTGAGCTACCAGGGAAGCCTGAAACTAAGATATGTGTTCAGTGACACCCAGATTGTTGAGCATTCTACTGAATCATTTGCCTTTCCCATTTTAATTCTTTATTCATTGCTAACTATTGCTGCAGTTTTAATGACAAGTGTTTAGAGGTGAACGTAACTAATTATTGTAATGAGTTTCTTATTTTTAAAATGTTGCTTTTATATGTTTTAAAGGATTTGGTAATTTTAATTTTTACAGATTGAAGAGGAAGAGAGGAAAAAGATAGAAGATATGAAAGAAAATGAACGGATAAAAGCAACTAAAGAATTGGAAGCCTGGAAAGAATGTCAAAGAAAAGCGGAAGAACTTAAAATAATTCAGAGGGAAGAAAAATTATATCATCAAGAAAAGCAAATGAAAGAAGAGAGAAAAAAATTAAAACATAAATGTCTTACTGGGAATTCAGCATCTAAAAATCTTGCCACAAAAGGTACGGTGATTAACAGTTTCTGGGAAAGTGAGTCATGTTAGTGAAGTATGTATGTCATTTGTGTGTGTGTGTGTGTGTGTGTGTGTGAATATGTCCACAGTATTAGGTTATTATTTTACTGTATGATGTACTATAATACAGAGAATAAGGTCAAAGACTTACTTCTTGCAGAAAGTAATTAAGTTTTCATAATAAAATGAGCCAAGATTCAATATTGTTTTTACTCACATGCTTTCTTTAGACTTTTAGGCAAGTGTTATTAATTATGTGTTTAACTCAGGTACGGTAAGACTTGGAGTGAATTAGCAGTACCAGGAATATTCATTTATTTCTTTAGAGATAAGAAACTAGGAATTTCATTAAAAGGTCTTTTATTCATGTAACTCAGGAAAGCAAGTACTCATAAGCAGATTTAGGTGTTAACAGATAAGAACTCTGCTGGCTTTTGATTCTGGTATATTCAAAAATAAGTGAGAGGACATTTTTCTTTATTGAAAACTAAGAGTTTGTTTTTATCTGATATTAGAATATTAAACTTGGTTTTGGGCTTATTTATGTTTACTAAATGGAACATTTTGTAGTAAAATCTTACATAATAGTGACTTCATATTTCTTGTGTGATTACTGTATGCCAGGTAATTTTATTGATTGTATCACTGATTTCTCACAATAGCACTTGGAGTAAGTGCTGTTATTCTTTTTTGTTTTATTTTGTTATTTTTATTTTAAAGGAAAAACATGTTTTGAAAAGATAAGCAACTACCCAGTAAGCAAACCTGTAGGATTTGAACCCAGATCTGTCTGATTCTGAAACCTGTGTTCTTTTCAAAGGCTATATGTCTTTACTACTATAACAGTGAGATCTAGCATGTTAAAAAGTCATTTATAGTGAATAGTAAGCAATAGCCATTATTAAATTTATATATATTTATATGGTTTAATATTGATGTGCCAGTTAAATACTATGCTATCTCCTTTAATGCCATTTCAGTAAAATATTGATACAGCTAGAGAATTTGAAAACATTTCCTTCCAAATTTCATATACTGCTAGGCAAATTGATTGTTTTTAAATACTGTTGCACCCCAACATACTTTTATAGGTATGAGATATCCTGAAGATGCTTAAAAAAAATTCATCTGTGGATATAAGGGAAATTAAACATGGTAGAGGGAAAAAATACATGTCACCTTTTTTTTTTTTTTCAAGTTTTATTCTGGAAGTCCTTCCCCCCCGCCCCCCTTATTTCAATACTGTCATTACAGATGCCTGACAAATATGGTTACTTTCTTCCATCTTGTTCATTCATTTAACAGATATTTATTTACTGCATATCTCCTCTGTGCTAGGAGTTATAGAATATACATTTATGACTAAACATGTGGCCAGTGCCTTCAAGGAACATATACTGTTGTAGATACAGATATCTTCAGTTAGCTGGGATTTGTACATAACCGCTTTTAAAAAATTCACAAACATCTCATTGGTCGGTAAAGTTAGACCTCTTGAAGAGGGAAACTTGGCCGCTCCTAAAAAGTCTAATACTACTGTTTCAATGTCACTGTTAACTGAAAATGCTCATTTGATAGCATTTTAACTATAGGAAGCATATTGTATTATTTTCCCCAGAAACAGTGTTTAGACAAGCTACTTTTGTAGTATATATGGAATACAGATGGCGTGGCAGGTACTGTAGCTTGCCTACTCAATGTGTACTCTCCTTTTCACTGATAGAAGAATCGTGACTTGGGGGTGGGGGACAGAAGAAATGTGTCCAGCTAAAAAAACTTAACTTTGGGAAATTTGACTGTTGGTTGGATATTTGAAGAAATTAATGAATAATTATATTTTTTCTTTACATGTGATAATGATATTATAGATAGGTTTATAAAGTCCTCATCTTGTAGAGGTGACTACTGAAATATTTATTGATTAAAAAAATACAATGTCTGAAGTTTGCTTCAAAATAGTGTATATGTGAAAGTGGATAGAGGTAATGATGAGTGGTGTTGGCCATGAGTTGATAATTGAAGTCATTTTATGAATGCATGATGGTGATTATTCTTTCCTGTCTACTTTTGTACATATTTGAAATTTTTTATTTTAAAATGGAAAAAAATTAAGGATCAAACAGTGAATGAATCATTTTTCAAAGTAATTTTAAATTAGTAAAAAAAAGAAAAAAGGAAAACAAAATTCACCTTCAGCTCCCTCAGACTCTGTTGTAGCCTAGTGACACATGTATGTCACTTGTATATGCATGCCACTTGTATGTATATGTGTGTCACACATACACACATATGTGTATGTACCTTGACACATGTATGTCACTTGTCATACATTTGTATGACATGTAGCCAAGTGACATAGCTCTGACTCTTGAAATAGAAATGTGCTAATGATTTATAGAAAAGTATTACTTTTCCAAGATAAGTGTCCCCAGTTCCTTTTTGCTTGCTTCCTCTTTCCTTTTTCTACCTAAGATGAAGATCTATGCCAGGAAATGTATTAGCTGTCGTCTTGAGATCATTAAGAGGTAAGCCATACATTAAGAGTGATGGAACAGGGAAGAAGGAGGAGCTTGGGACATTAATGACATTGGAGAGCTAATAAATCATGCTGGAGTATCTTTCTTCAAACTTGTTAAGTGAGAAAAACAAACCCATGTATAATTAAACCACTTTAATTGTGTTTGTTTTTCATGTATCCTAGAGAATTTTGACTGCTGGAAATGGCTAATGGAAGGCAAGGTTGATTTAGCGTTGGAAAATCACTCAGTATAATTAACTAAACTAAAGGAAAAACCTGATTGTTTCAAAAGGCGTCTGACAAAATCTAACACCCATTAATAATAAAAATTGCTTAAAAATTAGGACTAGAAACTTTCTTGATCTGGTAAGGGTCTTCTACACAAAAACCTATAGCAAACATCCTATTTACTGATGAAATAATGCATATTTTGCCCCTAAGGTTGAAGAGTAAGGCAAACATGTCTGTTTTTACTGCTTCATTCAGCATTATACTGGAGGTCCTAACTGCTGCTTTAAGACAAGAGGGCACATTGGTGGTTGCCTGAGACTAGGAGTAAAAAGGAAGGAATGAACTGCACAGAGCTATAGGGAGCTCTTAGAGATGATAGAGATTTTCTTTCTTGATTGTGATTTTGTGAGTATGTACATCTATCAGAACTCATTTAATATGCTTTAAAATAAGTACAGTTATTGTACATGAATTATTTCTCAATAAAATTGGAAAAAATGTTTATTATTTTTAAGCATGAAAGCATCAAAGTGTATATGATTTCCTCAAATTCTTATTATTCCACAGTAGTGCTTAGGGCCAGACATAGTGAGGCCATCCCCCAAGTGGTTTCATTTGAGGGTCTTTATGTCTGTTTTTATAAGGGAAAGTGAAATCAATGAACATTAATTAGTTAACATGACTACGGGGACTTGTCTTGTTAGGAAGAGCTTTGTTTAAAAGGGATAAACTCTTGAAGTCAGTTACTGGTATCAGCCTGTTGTGTTGAACTAATTTTGCGGTGCTAAGCTATCTTATTTGCTAAGCTACTAAAAGCATTGTAGAGGGAAAGAGGAGACTTCAGAGCACGTGGATTTTTCCATTCTCAACTTGGTAGAACTAGGTACTTCTAAAGGTAGAAGCAATCATAAGTCTGGAGAAAATAAGGTTGGTTGAAAATGTGTAAGACTTTGCTTACCAGTTCTCCTCCCCTACCACAGCAGACAGCTGGAGGTTTACTTTCTGTACAGTTGAGGACTCAATGAGATTCTGCTCTGAAAATACAGAGATTGAGTGAAAGTCTGCATTATGAAAATCTAAATACTGATTCAAGAGATCCCTTCAAGTCCTATACTCTTTGCCATATGCATGCGTGAACCCAGTGCACCTGGGATGCAGATTGAACAATTCCTTTACAGGGAAGCCAACTAGGATGCAAAAGCCTTATCATTTTTAATGGCCCAACTAATTCACCATGCTGAAGTTTATTCATCAACAGTCTTCAGATTCATGTACACAGAACTTCCAGTCAGAATATTTATACTTAGCATTTTTAATATGAACAGATAGCCAACAACCAAACAAAAATATAACTTGGAACAACTAGGTATGAAACAAGTAGGAATGGGAAGAAAACTTAAAAAGAACCATAATTAATGTCCTCAGAGAGATGAAAACATATTTTAACCCTTGAGCAAAAACAAGAGGCTATAATAAAGAATTTTCCAAAAAATCAGTTTGGAAATTTAAAATGTATAAAATGTTCAGTCAGATAGTTGGAATATAGTAAATTTTTTCCAGAAAATAGAACACGACAAAGAGATTTTAAAATAGAAAAGATGGGACTTCTCTCGTGGTCCCGTGGTAAAGAATCTGTCCTGCGATGCAGGGAACACAGGTTCGATCCCTGGTTGGGGAACTGAGACCCCACATGCTGCAGAGCAGCTAAGCCTGGGCGCTGCAGCTCCTGAGCCCACCTGCGCTGGAGCCTGTGTCCCACCACCGGGTAACCTGCACGCTGCAACTGCTGAAGCCCGCCCTCTCTGGAGCCTGCACCCTGCAGCTGCAGAGTCCATGCTCCAGAATGGAGTCTCCCGCAGAGCACAACGGAGATCCGGGTGCCACAACTGAGACCTGACACAGCCAGATAGCAGTAAATAAACAGATAAGTTAATGTGATTAAATAGAACAGATGAAACAANGAAGGTGGGAGGGAGGTTCAAGAGGTAGGGGACATATGTATACTTATTGCTGATTCACAGTTGTTGCATGGCAGTAAGCAACATGACATTGTAAAGCAATTATGTTCCAATTTTAAAAAAAGACATTTAGAGATAAGATGGTGATGTAAATCCATGGCTAATTCATTTCAGTGTATGACAAAAACTACTGTAATGATGTAAAGTAATTAGCCTCCAACTAATAAAAATAAATGGAAAAAAAAAAAAGAAAAAAAAAGTCTTTTTAAAAATTTGGATGTGACTGACTTATTACGTTTTAAATGTACAATATAATGTTTCAATACATGTATATATTGTGAAATGATCACCACAGTAAAGCTAGTAAATCTGTCCAGCACCATACATAGTTACAGTATTTTTTCTTATAAGAACCTCTAAGATTTACTCTCTTAACAACTTTCAAATATAAAGTACAGTGTATTAACTATAGTCACCAGGCTATACATTTCATTCCTAGGACTTGTTTATTTTATGACTAGAAGTTTGTACTTTTTGATCACCATCACCCATTTTGTCCACGTCCCAACCCCATCTCTGACAGCCACCAATCTGCTCTCTGTAACTATGAGTTCCATTTTTTGTTGTCGATTCTACATATAAGAAATACTTTTAAAATTTTTTAGTGAGGGGTGGTGGAGGGAGAAAGAAAGGGGGAGTTTGGGATTAACAGATACATACTACTATATGTAAAATACACACTCCAGTATTCTTGCCTGGAGAATCCCATGGACAGAGGAGCCTGACTGGCTATGTTCCATGGGTTTGCAAAAAGTCAGACATGACTGAAGCAATTTACCAGCAGCATTTGTAAAATAGAAAGACAAGGACCTGCTGTATAGTACAGGGAACTGTATTCAATGTCTTGTAGTAACCTATAATGTAAAATAACCTGAAAAAATATATATTTGTTCCTAACACTATTTTATTTTTCCTGAATCAATTATTGCAGCATTTTGCAAATTTTATTAGCCTGTTCCAGAAAGCAGTTTTGGGTGGTGTTGATTCTTTTATTGTTTATTTGTTTCCTATTCCATTAATTCCTGTGTGTATTTTTATTTGGCTGCTCCTAGTTTCTTTGAGTTTTCTCTGTTTTTTATATAATTTGTTTGCATTAATTTTTGAATCTTTTAATTCATGCATATGAAGTGTAATTTTTTTCTCTTAAATACTACATTAATGCATTCATGAAGTCTTGACATCTTGTTTTTTCATTGTCATATGGTTGCAAATATTTTATAAGCCATCATAATTTTTTTGTGCTCCAATTATTAGGGAGAATTTTTAAAAAATTTACAAATGTATAAAAAGTCTGGACCAAAGCAGAAACAATGCTTAGTTGTGGGTGTATCTGGTATTAAAAGTATAGTCTGATGCTGTAAAGAACAGTATTACATAGGAACCTGGAATGTCAGGCCCATGAATCAAGGTAAGTTGAAACTGGTCAAGCAGAAGGTGGCAAGAGTGAACATTGACATTTTAGGAATCAATGAACTAAAATGAATGGGAATGGGGAAATTTAATTCATATGACCATTATATCTACTATTGTGGGCAAGAATCCCTTAGAAGAAATGGAGTAGCCCTCACGGTCAACAAAAAAGTCTAATATGCAGTACTGGGGTGCAATCTCAAAAACAACAGAAATTATCTTGGTTTGTTTCCATGGCAAACCATTCAAGATCACAGTAATCCAAGTCTATGCCCCAGCCACTAATGCCAAAGAAGCTGAAGTTGAATAGTTTTATGAAGACCTTCTGGAACTAACACCATAAAAAGATGTCCTTTTCATCATTAGGGATTGGAATGCAAAAGTAGGAAGTCAAGAAATTCATGGAGTGGCCTTGGAATACAAAATGAAGCAAGGCAAAGGCTAACAGTTTTGTCAAGAAAACACACTGGTCATAGCAAACACCCTCTTCCAAAAACACAAGAAATGACTCTATACATGGACATCCCTAGATGGTCAATACTGGAATCAGTTTGATTTTATTCTCTGCAGCTGAAGATGGAGAAGCTCTTTACGCTCAGCANTAATGTTCAAAATCCTTCAAGCTAGGCTTGAACAGTATGTGAACTGAGAAATTCCAGATGTACAAACTGGATTTCGAAAAGGTAGAGGAACAAGAGATCAAATTGCCAGCTTTCATTGGATCATAGAGAGAGCAAGGGAATTCCCGAGAAACATCTACTTCTGCTTCATTGACTTCACTAAATCCTTTGACTGTGTGGATCACAAACTATGGAAAATTCTTAAAGAGATGGGAATACCAGACCACCTTACCTGCCTCCTGAGAAAACTGTATGCAGATCAAGGAGTAACTGTTAGAACCAGTAACTGACTTGTTTCACGTTGGGAAAGGAGTATGTCAAGGCTGTATATTGTCACCCTGCTTGTTTAACTTCTATGCAGAGTACATCATGCAGAATGCTGGGCTGGATGAATCACAAGCTTAAATCAAGAGTGCTGGGAGAATATGCAGATGATATCATTCTAGTGACAGAAAGTGAAGATAAACTAAAAAGCCTCTTGATGAGGGTGAAGAAGGAGAGTGAAAAAGCTGGCTTAAGACTCAACATTCAAAAAACTGAGGTCATGGCATCTGGTCCCATCACTTGATAGTAAATAGAAGGAGGAAAGTAGAAGCAGTGACAGATTTTATTTTCTTGGGCTCCCAAATCAGTGTGGATGGTGACTCCAGCCATGAATTTAAAAAATGCTTGCTCCTTGGAAGGAAAGCTATGACAAATCTAAACAGTGTATTAAAGAGATACCGCTTTGCTGACACAGGTCTCTATAGTCAAAGCTGTGATTTTTCTGGTAGTCATGTACTGATGTGAGAGCTGGACCATAAAGAAGGCTGAGCAGTGAAGAGTTGATACTTTTGAGTTTTGGTGCTGGAGAAGACTCTTGAGAGTCTCTTGGAGAGCAAGGAAATCAAAGCAATCAATCCTAAAGGAGATCAACCCTGAATATTCACTGGAAGGACTGATGCTGAAGCTGAAGTTCCAATACTTTGGCTACCTGATGCAAAGAGCTGACTCATTGGAAAAACCCTATGCTGGGAAAGATTGAGGGTAAGAGGAGATGGGGGCAATAGAGGATGAGATGGTTGGATGGCATCATTGACACATTGGACGTGAATTTGAGCAAACTATGGGAGATAGTGATGGACAGGGAAGCCTGGTATGCTGCAGTTCATAGGGTCACAGATAGTTGGACATGACTTAGTGACTCAACAACAACAACAGGCTATCATTTTTCATTTTTACCCTCAAGTTTTCCACTCCTGAGTTCTTAATTTTATTTTTCCATGTTCTGGTACATTTCTTTGAGTAATTTACTCAGAAAAGATGGCTAGATGGTGTATTTACTTAGTTCTTAAATATCTAGGAATGTCTCCTGGCTTCATAAGTGAATAGTAGTATACTGGGTATAAAATTCTTGACACATTGTATTAGGTAGGGTCAAGCCAATTACTGAAATAAGAGGTCCAAAGTCATAGATTGGGCTTCCCTGTTAGCTCAGTTGGTAACGAATCTGCCTGCTATGCAGGAGACTCCAGTCCAATTCTTGGGTTGGAATGATCCCCTGGAGAAAGAATAGGCTATGCACTCCAGTATTCTTGGGCTTCCCTGGAGGCTCAGGTGGTAAAGAATCTGCTTGCAATGTGGGAGACCTGGATTTAATCCCTCTATTGGGATGATCCCCTGGAGGACGTGGCAACCCACTCCAGTATTCTTGCTTGGAGAATCCCCTTGGACAGAGGAGCCTGGCAGTCTGCAGTCCCTGGGATCACAAAGAGTGGACACAATTGAGCGACTAAGCACAGCACAGCACACAAAGTCATAGATCAAATAAGGTCAAAATTGAATGTTATCTAATACTTATTATGTAATGGTCATCAGTCTAGGCCTGAATGATGTCTTTGTTCCACAGGGCCTTCCATGCTGGTGGGGCAACATCTGTTGTACCATTATTTGGCTTCCATCTCTGGGTCCAAGGTGGATAATGCAGTTGGCATTGTTTTTTAGCCAGTGGGATGGGGAAAGATGTCCACTGCAAGTGGATTTACTGGTAAAATGGTGATCTGTAAATTGTATACACCACTTATATTCACATTCTGCTGTGTCAGGTTTGGCACATAACTACACCTACTCTTAAACAAAGAGGGAAAGATTGATAGGACACTGGATGATAGCGTTCCCAACCACAACAGTCTATAGGGATTGTTTAAATTTTTGTTGATGTTACTTTCTAGTTTGAGTCCTTATTCTTTCTTCCCCATCCCCTCTTTCCTCCTTTTGAAATGTTAATTCAGGCCCTTTTCAGTTTTTCTTTAAAGAGGAAATTTTATATCTTAATTATATGTGTTCATTTTATATCAAAGATACAAACTCTCTGTCATGTTTGTAGAAAATAGTTTTTGATCAGTTTTGATATTTTCATTTTTTAGTACCTTTCCTTCCTTTTAGTTATGTAGTTTATATTCTAACATATAGATGAATATCTTCTCTTATATTGACTGAACAGTTATTATATCTAACTGCCTTTGTACAAATGTATAGCTTTTCATCATAACTCTTCACCTGTTCCCACTAGCTTTCTCTAATAGCTGAAAATCTTTTCTGTCATTATCAGGAAGCCTATAGAAGATACTGCTATAGGAGCTTATGGAAAGTGATGACTTTGCCTAGGTACCCTCCTGTAGAGTTGACATAGGTTATAAGAGTGCCGTCCTCTATAGTGAATGTAAGTTAGATTCTGTGTGGTTTAACAAAGAGAACCCCAGAAAAGTAGCTGAAGTTATTGATTAAAGAACAGATAATTAGCTTCCATAATTTCAATGAGGAATTTTACATTCCTTCCTCTAGAAAATATGGTTGGATTATTTGTATCGGATTTTAAAAGTAATTTTAATGGGTTATTGTCTTAAAAGTCTGTTTGATTGTTAACTAGGAAATAAGAGGTAAATAACTTAATTGCTAATATTGTTTTTGAAGGGAGAAATTCAGAAAATATATTTTTTGAGAAGTTAAAGGAAGACAGTATTCCTGCTCCTCGCTCTGTTGGCAGTATTAAAATCAGTTTTACTCCTCGAGTATTCCCGACAGCTCTCCGGGAATCGCAAGTAGCAGAAGAAGAGGAGGTTGGTACACTTGCTGTTAGTTACAGTGACCACAAATGAGAATACTTAATTTTTTACTTCATATGTTGAAACTTCCTGGATCTGAGTTTTTAAAGTATTCATTGCGCTAAAGATATTTCATGAAAAAATTTGATATTTCTTTTTGAGAAAAATATATTTTGCAGGATCTATTTTTTTTTTGGCTTCAGAATGCCGATGAGAAAACATTGATTTAATAGTCAGTGTTGTTGCTTATTCTAGGAGATAATCTGCTGCATATGCATTTATTTTATTAAATACATAATTTTCCATAATAGATGTGTAAACTTTGGGACTATGTGTGTTGTGGTAAGAAAAGATTTGTAAATCTATTATAACTATGTTATTACAATTAACTAGTAACATCAAGTATTTCTAATGTGACATTTGGCATTGATATCTTTCATTTCTAAATTCCTGAGATCTAGGATTTTGAATGTCATATATTTAGTTGTATAAGCACTAAGAATTCTAATAACTGCTTTTATTTATTTATTTTTTACTGTAAGGTATGAACTGATACCTCTCTCAGTGAAAAGTTGTGAAAATAATTGAAGTTTCTTAATACATAATGACAATTTATAAATATTAACTTTTTATTAATATTAGCAATATATTTATGTATTTCATTATTTATAAAAGGATTTCTATAGCGAATAAAATTATAATTATTAAAAATGATTTATATATTTTTATAATGTAAAAATACATATGTATTATAAACAAGATAAGTAAAATAATATTCACATGAACTACCAGAAATTTGGACAAAGTTTGAACTAGAAATTGTTACATATTTGATCTTAATCAGCTAGTGAAATTAAAAAAAAAACTTGAAAATGTATAAAAGCTGGAAGTTTAAAATCACCATCATCAAATATTATATCAGTCTGCTTAGAATACTGTTACAAACTATATAGACTCACTGGCTCTAAGAACAGACAGTTATTTCTCACAGTTTTGGAGGCTGAGAAGTAAAAGGTCAGGTTATGGGCGTGGGGTGGAGAAAAGAGCATGCCCTCTAGTTTCTCCTCTTATAAGGATACTAATCCTGTCTTGGGGGCGTCATCCTCATGACCTCATCCAAACTTAACGCCCAAAGACCATAGTTCCAAATACCATCACATAGGTGGTTAGGGGTTCACCATACGAATTTTGGAGCACACAAACATTCAGTACATAACAAATAGTATTTCCATGTTATGTAGGAAGATGGGAAATCTAAAAGGAACGGTTAATAAATTAATACCTTTGTGCCCTTCATTAAACTCATTCTCATTTCAGTGGCTACATAAACAAGCAGAGGCACGAAGAGCAATGAATACTGATATTCCTGAACTTTGTGATTTAAAAGAAGAGGAAAAGAACCCAGAATGGTTGAAGGACAAAGGAAAGTAAGTTGTTTGTACCCTGGCCATGAGACTTATTATGTATCTATGTAGATATTAGTACTTATAACATTTTCTAGATATCTTGACATATGTGTGAATGTGATTGTTGGGAAGAAATAATATAAGTATGCCAATTATGTAGGTAGCACCTCTGTATTTAAAAAGTCAAATCCTGTAACAATTAAATGAGATTCTTATTTTTATTTGCTTTTGTATTTAAATGTCATGGAAATGAAAAAATATAACATCTTTTGGAAGGCTTATTAAAGTCTTTTTAAAAATTACTCAGTGTTTGACATAACTCCTTGCTACTACTCCTCTTAAAATCATGGTTCTTCAAAACTAGAATTACTTTGATTAGTCATATCAATCTTTGAAAGCTTATCAGATTAGCTTGTTGCTCTGTCATGACCTGGATGTGTGGGATGGAGTGGTAGGGTGGAAGGTTCGAGAGAGAGGGGATATATACACACACATATCATGGATTCACTTCATTGTACAGCAGAAACTAACAACATTATAAAGCAATTATCCTGTAATAAAAAAAGATTATCAAACCAGTCTAAAAATTATCATTTTATGTCTAGACAGTCTTTTTATTTATTTATTTGTGACTGTAAATTTTGGACACTTATCAAAAATAATGAATTCTGGTACATTCTGTGGCAATTTGACTTCATATTTTGAGGCAATTGTAGATATTGTTTATTATACCTTATCTTGTATGTTTGTATTGTTTTCCTGTTGCTGCCATAATAAACTGCCACAAACTTATTGGCTTAAAACAATACTAATCTATTATCTTATAGTTCTGGAGGCCAGGAGTCTAAAATGGGTTTTACTAGTCTAATGTCAAGTATCAAGTGCCATCCTTCTGGAGACTGTAGGAGAGAATCTATTTCCTTGGGTTTTCCAACCTTGAGACCACCCACATTCCTTGGCTTATTGCCCCAAACCAGCAGTTGCATCACTCTAGCCTTTGCTTCCATAGTCACATCTCCTTTTCTGCCTCTGTCTCCCCTGCCTCCCTCTTTCATTTATAAACACCCTTATATTTATAATCCAGGGTAATCTCCTACATTAAGATTCTTAATCATATCTACAAGGTTCTTTCTAACGAACCATTTTATGTATTCACAGGTTTTGGGGAGTTAGGCTGTGGCTATCTTTGTGTTTTCCTCTTCTCATCTACTCTCTGTTCTTTCCTGGTCTTTTCTCTTCTCTAAAACACCACTAGAGATTGATTTGTGGAGTTGAGCTAAAGTTGACAGTTTTTCTAAAGTTCAGAATCCTGAGGCTCAGAGGTTTGTTCCTCTTACTCCCAAGAGTAATCCCTTCTCCTTCTCCTTCTCTTCCTTCTTCTCTCCCTTCCTCTCCATCTTTTGAACCATTAAATAAATATCTGTTGATTATTTATGGTTTGTCAGGCTGTAGGCTAGGCTCTGAACTACAGAAATCAGTAGAGGAGAGAGACATATACAAATACTTACAACACGTATGGAAACTGCAATACATATAAAGCCCATGATAAAATGAGAGTACAGAAGAGGGGCACTTAACCTTAAAAGAAGGAAAGTAGTTTCAGGAAGAGCTTCCAAAAGAATATAGCACCTGAGTTCCTCTTACTGATAGGTAGGAGTTTCAGGAGGAAGGGAGAGAAAGGTTTTCGTTTGAGGCAGAGGGTACAGTGTGAGCAAAAGCTCGGAGACAAGAACAGTGTGACATACAGGCCAGGAACTATGGGTAGTTTACTTTTTGATAAAACATAAATTTGAAGCTAAGAATGATAACACACGAACCTAGAAAAATAGGCAGTAGGCTTGTGTTATTCTTAAATTTTATTCTGTAAGGTGGAGGAAAATGTGTTCCAGTAACTAAGGTGTCTTGAACAATGACGTTGTAGAGGGGGACGGTGAGGGCAATGTGAGAAATATTCAGGAGGTAAAATAGGGAGGACTTTTGAGTGACTGTTGAGGAAGAGAGGAGTAGTTGTGGACATCTTTGGGTTTCTAGTTTAAATTTGGATTGATTATATGCCACCAACTGAATTAGAGAACACTAGAAGATGGCCAGTTAGGGGGGAATGTAGGTAAGGTCAGTTTTGAATATGTTGAGTTAGAGATGTCTTTTGGTCAAGCTGACAGTGTCCAGCAAGTTTGAAACCCAGAGGAGAGTCCAGCCCTGTGTTATCAATTTGGAGGTCATCAGTATTTATGCAGCAGTTGATTTATAAGAGTAAGTGAGTTATCTAAAAATAGGGTATAAAGGGGAGTAGTGGCCTAAGGCTAGAACCCTGTGATTCACCAGTATTTGACGATCTGGTGAAATAAAGTAGTACACGGAAATACTCTCAGAAGCAGACGGAATAGAAACTCTTAAGAGGTTGTTTTTTTTTTTGGGGGGTCTTGTTCTTCTCTAAAAGTTCTCCAGGCAAGAATCCTGGAGTGGTTCATCACTCCCTTCTCCAGGGGATCTTCCCAACCCAGGGATTGAACCGGGTCTCCTGCATTGCAGGCAGATTCTTTACCATCTGAGCCACTAGGGAAGCGAGCCCTCTTTACAAAAAGAAAAGATGTGCAGACGAGACAGAAGAAGGGGTTGAAATGTCCTCAAGAAGAGTGGGGAAAACTCAGTCAAGGCCGATGGTGAATGGATCATCTTGATTTTGTTATTCTCTTTCGTCTCGTTAAAAGTTGTGTTCATCTTTACACTTTATAATAAAGATATACCTTTTGAAAAAAATTTACACTGCACATCAAATGAAAGTTTCCTTTGGTTTTTACCCAGTATGCTGGCCTTCTGCCTTCCCTGCTCCTCAGATGTATCCAGTCTAAATATTTCTTTAATTGCGTTTGCTTGTCTTTAAGCTGTCATTGTCATAATCACAGTTGTTATGTCCATAGCTTGTGATAGGTTACCAGAGCCTTGCACACACTATTTCATTAAGTCCTTACCACTGTAGTTAGCTAGGAACCACTGCTTTTGCCCTCATTTAACAAATGTCTATCGTAAAGCTAGCTGCTTTACACAAACTAGCTCTTTTAGTTCCTTTAACAGTATAACTAGTTATATATTATTATCTTGACCCCAAGTTTCTAAAATATAGAAAGAGTGCTAGAGAGGTTGAGAAATTTGGCTAACGTGGTGGTTTATAAATAAAACCAGGATTCAATCCCACGTCAGTATGATTACGAAGCTTTTGTTCCAGATGGTGTTGTATAACCCTCACAGATGAGTAAAATTCTTGTTCTTTTGTTCCGATTGTTTAGCCTTAGTGAAGACAGCCCAAGTGGTGTGGCTGTGAATTGCTCTTCCTTGAAGCCTGAGAGTGCTGAAGTGCACATAGCTGAATGTGCTTTCCTATTGGATTGGTTACTGAGGTCTAGAAAATACTGGAAGATTAAGTTGTAATAGAGATAGAATGGGACGGACTAGAGATCTCTTCAAGAAAATTAGAGATACCAAGGGAACATTACATGCAAAGATGGGTTCGATAAAGGACAGAAATGGTATGGACCTAACAGAAGCAGAAGATATTAAGAAGAGGTGGCAAGAATACACAGAAGAANGCAGAATATTAAAAAGCAGAGACATTACTTTGCCAACAAATGTCTGTCTAGTCAAAGCTGTGATTTTTCCAGTAGTCGTGTATGGATGTGAGAGTTGGACTATAAAGAAAGCTGAGTGCCGAAGAATTGATGCTTTCTAACTGTGGTATTGGAGAGGACTCTTGAGAGTCCCCTTGGACTGTACCAGTCCATCCTAAAGGGAATTAGTCTTGAATATTCATTGGAAGGACTGATGCTGAAGCTGAAACTCCACTACTTTGGCCAACTGATGTGAAGAACTGACTCATTTGAAAAGACCCTGATGCTGGAAAAGATTGAAGGTGGATGGAGAAGGGGACAACAGAGGACGAGCTGCTTGGATGGCATCACTGACTCAATGGACATGAGTTTGAGTAAACTCTGGAAGTTGGTGATGGACAGGGAGGCCTGGCGTGCTATAGTCCATGGGGTTGCAAGGAGTCGGACAGGACTGAGTGACTGAAGTGAACTGAACTGATTTTCTGAGGTGGAAGGAAAGAAAGTGAAGACAAGTGTGAAACTATATAAGTTTCTAACAAAAATTGCTTAGTGGGTTCTATTGAGGTCTCTACTATTGAGGTCTCTACTAGGTTAGAGAGCATGAATTCATGGAGATGTTATTCAGCACAGCTATGTGATTTATCTTCTAGAGTGTTTAGTGTTTCAGATTTAAGACTAGATCATTGAGCCAAAGTTGGAATTTTGATGGACAGGTACAACAGGAGACTAGTAGTACAAAGGACGAGATTGAAAAATAGCTTAGATATCCAGCTATGATGTCTAGGCTGGGGGACTTCCCAGGCAATCCAGTGGTTAAGACTCTGTGTTTCCAATGCACGAGGCTCAGGTTTGATCCCTGGCCAGGAACTAAGATCCCACATGCTGTGCAGCATGGCCAAAAAAATAAAAAATAATCTATTTTTTAAAAATAGAAATCTCAGCTGGGTTAGAAAGGAAGAGATGCCATGGTGGCCCAGTGGACTCAGGAAAAATGGAGTGGTTAAGACTTTAGAGGACACTATAGGTTGCAGATTGATGAAGGGAAAGTTTGAAGGATAGAAAGTTGTAGTCAGTGACTGGGATTCCAGAGTTTGATATCATTGAAGAAGTGCAGATCAGGTGATGACAAGTCCAGGCGGTGGTCCTGGAGTGGGTAGCAAAAGTGAAGGAAAGGTCATTTGAGTTAAGGTTGTTATTGTTTAGCCAGTGAGTTGTGTCTGACTGCAACCCCATGAACTGCAGCATGCCAGGCTCCTCTGTCTTCCACTGTCTCCCGGAATTTGCTCAAATTCATGTCATTGAGCCGGTGATGCTATCCAACCATCTCATCCTCTGTCACCCGCTTCTTCTCTTTGCCCTTAATCTTCCTAGCATCAGGGTCTTTTCCAGTGAGTCAGCTCTTCACATCAGGTAGCC